TTCTTTCCTCATTGATGGTGAATTTTATACTATTTATATATTCATTGAACTCACGGGAATTCCAAGAATCCTTCAATGCGTCCCGCAGTTTGCACTGAATACGAGTTCTGTCATCCACGTACTCGCTCTGCGTTTCCACGAGCAAATGGGGATTATGGCTGTTTGATAGAGCGTTCAGCAGCTTGCCGATGCAACGTGCGATTAGTTATTACGCTACAGGGTGGGGCAAAATTACTGGTGCACTAAATTTTCAATGGCATTTTGACAATAATTCTCACAAATCAATTCTAATTATCAATATTATTTACTACAAACATGACAATACAAAAAATGTTAATGCTTCTCAAAATGATCTTCTTTAGCCTTCACGTTTGGATGTCTGGTAGAACACGCTTTGCTCTGCAAGATGGACCACACAGAGTAATCAAACAGTAGAACTGGAGGGCCATGTCTGGTCTTGCCTTGGTGGTAGCATCAGCAAGTGATCCTGCAATAATCCTCTCATTTTGGGAGTTGAAGGCTGGATTCAGAGTAAAAATCTTTTCATCACTGAAAACGATGTCTCGGGCGCGTGCCACCGTGAATCGCTGCAGCAACTTCTTGCATCTCTCCAATCTCCTTTTCTTCATAATGTCCGTCAGGAGTTGGCATTTCTGACGTTCTTCGAATTCTTTCTCTGACGAGCCTCACATTTCTCCGACTCGTAGCTGTTGTGGAATGTCCTCTTCCTTCCCTGTCCTCTTCGGTCTTCAGTTCTTTATAGCGTCGTACTGTATTCTGAACCGTCCTTCGAGGTACGGAAAGGATCTTCACAGTTTCTCTTGTTTGCTTGCCGTCGTTGTGAAGTTTGATGATCGCGCTCCGTAGGTCAGAACGACGGACCATTTTGTATTTGAGTACGTAGGAATTAGCAACCTTCCGGCAACATTCACAAGCGAGTAAGAATTACAAGAGTGTAAACACATTAAAATATAGGTCCTCAGTCAATTTCGCCCACCTGTAGAATGATATGCGATCGCTCAGGGGCGAGCAATCAAATCGAACGAATCTTTTCAGTCGCCCTACTTGCCAAATACTACTCGGCATATTCGCTTAATCGCCTAACATGCGATTTCTTTCTTTGAATCATCGCCTAATCGCACGTAACTGACGCCAACTCTGACCCAGGTGAATATGCTTGAGGATTCCCTCAAACGGTCACGTCGAGATTTTCGTCTGTTCTTTAGTCTAACGCCGCACATATTCACGCCTCGTCACCAGCAAGCGTCTATACTCCGCGCGTGCATTCCCCTATCGCCTTATACTCGCCTCGCACAGCAAGAGCGATGGCAGGATCCTCACCGTTTTGCTCTAAACGCTGCCATGATCAGTTTTTTGGCGCGAGCGTAAGATACGTTCCACGATCGACACCTGACACGCAAGGCCAGAGCAGAAGAAAGTTTCGATAGAGACAGCATGCATCCACTCAACATGACCGAGAAGCACGCCAGACCATTTGCAGAAATTTTTATTCTACGGCCGCATGCACAAGACATTCCCTAGCTGGTCACCAGTGCAGATGAGTCAAGAGTCTGCCTCGATAACAGCATGCGGTACGCCTGGTGGCTAGCCTGGACCCACCATCTCAACCAAAGCCCGAGCTCTCATCAGAGGATTCACCTCCGTTTCGTTGTAGTCGCCAGTGCCGTTCAAGAACCACTTCGCTTTTGCAAGACAGCATTGCAAGTAACCCAGGACTACCCGAACTAACAGTTGCGTACGATTCCGTTCACGGCCATAGTTCTTCATCTTTAAATCCCAGTCTATGGCATTTTACTACCGTCCCTACCGTTCCGAAGTTCGGATTCCCCTCTGCACTTGCGTGTATAGGGTTACTCCTAGCATCGTCCTCTCGACAGCGCGTTGGATAACGCTGACCGCATGCTCGTCCTGCCTGCGCAGAGTCCAAGTCTCTGAGGCGTAGGTTAGGGCAGGAAGGACAGCGGAATCGAAGAGGTGGGCACGGAGCCGGATGTTCTTCGTCTTCTTCACTACTCCCTCGATTTTCGTGTCAATACGTTATACGTGTGAATGGTTGCAAGCTGTGGTAAATATACCATGAGAAGCTGAGTTAGGATGAAATGGTGCCCCGGTAGCGTAACTTGTAGCGCACTTGCCCGGTAAGCAAGAGGTGCGGGTTCGAGTCCCGCCTGGGGCGAAAGTTTTGTTCATAACCAGAATTCTCATGAAACAATCCTATAAGTGTTTGTTGACGTGTACTACTTTCCACAAGCTTTCGTAGAAAGAATTCAACTGCTGTACGAAATGGAACGGCTTGGCTCCCAATTATAAAACATAGGAACATAGTAAGAATAATTCATAATTCTGGCTCAACTCTGCAGAAGAGCGGGTATCCATGAGTACTTCCCGAGCTCCATTCTAACTTTATTCAGAACAATAAGAATAGTTAGGAAGAACATGATAGCAAATTTAGTTGCGCGTTTCATCCATACTCATAGCAAAAAGAGGACACATAATGGAAGATCCACCATCCACGACGAGCGAGTGCCCTACAATGAAAGATGAAGCACGGCGATCAGCTAGAAATGCGATTGCTTCGGCAATATCACGGGATGCTCCAACCGCGACCTGCAGGCACAACAGTCGTGTTTGACGCTATTGCGGTCTCAGCCTAAATTCGTAGTACAGTGTGCAAAGGTTCAACATTCGATATAATCATTCACTCAGGTATGAACTTATGGATCAAAAAGATACTAGGAGTGGATAAGCAATGCCATTTCAATGAGAGTACATCGAAAAAAGTTTCAAGAGGATCATTCGCAGGACATATAGCAGTGCCGTCACTCTATCCGAGGGTAGTTTTTCCGTTAAGCCACATCTTTCTCATTTGGAGAAAGGCGATACCGTTACTCGGTTACCGTTTGAAACAAAAGGAATAGGATAATCTATCGAGTCCCCGATGTTGATCAGACTTGTCTTGGGATGCGCCATGCACCTCACTTTCGTTCAGAATCGTAGTGGTTTTGAATTGCGATTTGGACTGGGGCCTTGCGGGGCCAGCCAGTGTACAGGGTGTCCCAAAATTATGGGCGCCGAAATTCAAAAATTTGTTTGGCAAAAGTACTCGATTATTCTCCCTTCATTTGCTGATGATTAGTTACACACAAAGGTCCTCTTGTAACCTGTTTGATTGTAGGTGTGAAATCCCTACTATCTTCAGGAGGGCGGGAGGTCTTTCACTGCGACCTGCGATCATTCGCATGCACGAGGCGGATACCCCAATGAAGGACAATGTCAAATATTTTGTAGTTTCCACAAGGGTTATACGGAAGGTTGACTTACGATACTAGGAAACAGTGTCCATT